CATATATATATATATATATATATATGGAAAATGATGACATAAGCCTACTAGCCTACAGCTACATATGAGACCAACGGCCCAGATTGCACATATTGAATCTGGGCCGATCTGACGGTCACGACATCATTCTGCATTTTAATTTTCATTTTTTTATACAAATCTAAATCACATTAAATTTTAGGCGTCTATTCTTCTCATCAAGGTGCACCTAATAAAAATATTAAAAAAAATAATTCATAAAATATAAATTGACCAAAATACCTCTGAAAAAGTTTCAAAGGTATTTTGGTCTATTTATTTTACGCGAAATATTATTTTGATACTTTTATTGGATTATTCTATTTTTAAAGAACACATGCCCAAATTTTCAAATGATTTAGATTTATAGAAAAAACATTAAAATTCAAACACGACATGCAATTGTGATCATTGGATCGGTCCAGATTGAATCTGAGCAGTTGGGCTCATATGTAGCTATAAGCTAGTGGGGCCTACGTTATCTGTCGGTCTTCCAAAAAACAGACAAAAGATACATGAATTGCAAAATGGTCAAGCACACAGGGCTAAGGAGGTTTCTATTTCATCATGCACACATGCAAAGATAGAGAGACACAAACACAGATCCACAATTAATTTTTGGTGTTCCAAGTGAAAAATGAGAAAGGGCAATACAGAAAATTCTTCATACCTCCCAGTCCCACGAAGCTTTCTCTTTCCTCTCAGTAATATCTGTCGCCTTGCTTAACTCCTTGATTGTGGGCAGAGGCCTCGGTCGATCTCCATGCTCATCACTGTCATGTTAGAATCAAAGAGAAAAATGTTATACAAAATTAAGAAACTATGATTCATGCAAGTGCTTGATATAGAACCTACAGAAAAACTACGAAAGTCTTCACCAATGTAAGACCCTGATATAGGAAATACACAAAAATTAAGAAACTCTGGGTCCTGCTAGTTCTTGACATAGGCATACACATAAATGAAAAAACTCTCTCCCATGCACAAGTTAGTTTAGGAAGCAAACCTTGTCCATGGAGCAGGATCATTGTCACAGCGAACAAACAGATACCGACAAACTTTAAAGCCCTGAAACCGGCAGCCCAAATATCACCAACAAATTTCTATATTCTTTGGAGGTCAGTGGAAATATCAAGAAACAGTACAGAAAAATAGAGATAGAGCCCAACCTGAATTCCAACTTTGCGCCAGCATTTCTCAATCCTATAAATGCCATCATACCTCACACCACTTTCTGGTGCATAACAAGAGCGTTTCTCCTTATGAGACCTGTTCAAGTAGCCACAACAAAGTCTGACATGAGTAATTTTACTCCGATTCTATCAGAGAGTGGAGACAAATTAGATTTCGCTTTGTTGGCACTTTCAATCCAGAAATTGAATTAACCATTTTTCCACTTTTTAATTTTGGGATTGTTAACTGGGAAAATATGAGAGACATAAAAAATGAATTTTTCAAATGAAGATAAAGGTCAAGCCATCCAAATTTTTTTTAAAAGGGCAGCACAATTATTAAATGAATAGTCTAAATCTGAGCAAATATATTGCTCCCAAAATTATAGAATGAGGACTATATCCTAAAAACTTCTCATGAGAATGTGATAGACATGGATGAACTCAACCAAGACGACTAACCTCAAGTAGGACACATGCAACCAGCAGGGAAAAGTGAACAAGAGCCAAAGCTTTGTTTTTATTCAACTTTAGAAGGAAGGCTGTAGCATTTGAAAGTACTTAGGTGAGAATACTTATTGATCTCCAAACATTATTGAAAATTTGTCACTACTATGATTTATTGTTGCACATTTCCTCAAGGAGTTCGGCTGCCAACTATGCCCGGAAGTGGTGATCCTTCAACTCACCATTTGGATCCTACAAGGTGCATTTGCAGGACCATATGGAAGGACCATAGTGAGGCACAAGAATTGCCAAGAGACATCACCGTCTTCCGAAACCATGTGTACGAGGCTAAAAAACGTCTACTGCATATAAATGGTGATTGAAATTGCTTGTTTTGCCTCAGGGGAACCAAGAGCTCAAAGATACCATAGAGACGGTCCAAATTAACATTGAAGAGGGGACTAAGACTAGAGAGGATGATAACAAGGAAGACAGTGGATATTGTGGAGAAGAATCAAGACACGATGAAGGGAGAGGGGAGAGAAAATAGTGCAAAGAATAATGAAACCCAAGTTCTTCGAAACCCAATGTCAACGTATAAAAGGAAGACAACAGGGACTATCAGCCTTTGAGTTACAGCGTGGCAAGCCACAAAAATAAGAACAGATTGGAGTCGTTGGACAACAAAAATATTTTCGAGCAAGAGGGCCTCAGATAAGGACAGAAGTTATAAATCACCATTCAGCCTTCTACAGGGTGAATTAGATGGAACCCTATGACACTTTGCTATCGCCTACATCCCCCACCACCTGCCAGTCTCAGTCTCTACCTCAAACCAGAGCTAATAAAGAAACAAATAAAACACAACATTCATGCAGGAAGCTTATACTATTTATAGTACAACACCAATGTTATCCTTTCAAGCTGGCATTGCCTATTGCCATGTGCCTACACACAGTCTGCTTACGCAGCACACATTCAATTTCGAAAAGAACTGCAGTTGTTTAACTACATGCAGTGCACATATGGTACATGTGTTTTTTAAACGTGCGCAGTTTATATGTTCTGTGCATGTTTTTAATGCATGGTATCCACATGTGCCATACACATTGTTTCAAATATGAATAGTCCACATAGGCCGCAAAGATCGGATATAAAAGTGAAGACCAAGTTCTTAAATCATGTTAGGAAATTGGGCATTGAGATTGGTGGTTACAGGGTGGGCCCAAGCACAAACATCAAGTTTTGAATTCCACCATGACCCCACTGAATGGCAAAAAAGATTGAGGTTCCTACACTCTGGTCGTAGCCTAATTCCAATACATACGGAGAGTAAACTTTGCAGTAAATCCTCCCTTATTTAATTGTTGAGAAATATATTGCTTAAAAAGTAAGACAAAACAAATAAGTTGCCTCAATAAACGGAGGGTAACGCCTCAATACAAGAAGGATAAACTAGGAAGGTATGTTACAAAAGAGAGAGAGAGAGAGAGAGAGAGAGAGAGAGAGAGAGAGAGAGAGAGAACAACTAACTAACTAACTAAGTAACTAACGTAAAGTAAGTAAGGTAACGTAAGTAAGTAACGTAACGTAAAGTAAGTAAGGTACGAACAAACGAAA